TGACTATCCAGGGCCCCTTTAGGGAAAAGACAGAGGGACTCGGCCTCAGTGGAAAGTCAAGTGATTTAGACAATGTCATCTGCAGATTCCATCCAGGCTCTGGGTCACAGAGGGACCCCGCTGTCCTGATCAGCAAGCTGCTTGTGCTGACTCACACCCCACCTGGGGTGCTGTCAGTGTCCTCACTAGAAAACAGTCCGAACTTTGGGTAGACATGGACTAAAACTGAGCTTCCCTTTTATGTTTCCCATTCCCCAGCACGGACTTCCGATGCATTGGGAGTTGTTAATGTCTCTTAATACTCTATGGTGGTTCAAAGAAATGTAAAGTGCAGTATTTCCAAAATCACTTGAATTTGATTTTTTACAGCTTCCTCCATAAACTTCCAGAATCCACTAACTTAAAGAGATGCTGCTCTAAAGTATTAAATGAGTAAATTATTCTCAGTATGTTATGTGATTCCCAGTATGTTATTTTCCGAAGCATAATTACAGCGGATGAAGGAAATACACACAGCTTTTCCAAGCCTTGTGGCCATGTCCTCCAGCCCCGTTCAGGTGATGCCCACATTCTCGACAAATATTACTGCTCTGAGAAGCTCCAGGAGGTGCCTTCATCTGGCAGGTGACAGGTTAAGGAAATGGGGCTTCATCTGTTAATCCTTTCTTAAGGGCTTGCTAAACATCATGCCAAGTCCTAGAGGGGCATTTTGTATCAATCATGGTGTTAGCCCTGCCCTCACAGAGTTTTCCACCTAACGAAGGAGACAAGGGGCCAGCTCTAAGGTCCAGCAGGATGCAAGGGGGCCCGGTGGACTCTAGAGCACTGAGCAGAGACGGGGAGCTTGACACAGCTCAACTCAGTCCTCACCACGGCCCTCGGATTCAGTACTGTCACACTGCAAAGATGGGAAAACTTACCGAATAGTTTCTCTGGTGTGAATAAACTGTAATAATACATAAGATCCTAATGGGATGTCTACCAGCCACCGAGATGGGTGGCAGCAGGAACAGATGGCCATGTCTGTCTCATTTTCCAATCTCTGAGGCTGTACTTGCCTGCTTCCCTTCCATCTCTCCCAGAACACAGTTTTGGCAGGTAGTGGGCCCCTTGGAATCCACAGTATCCTTCAAAGTCATTCTGGAACAGTACAGTGAGCAAGGCCAATCTACATGCAGAACCAGAGACCCAGAGTTATAAACATGAGCCTCATCCAAGATGAGTCGGTGACCTTGTTAAGATGTTCCCGGATTTTAACAAAGCTCTTTCACTGACTATCCAGGGCCCCTTTAGGGAAAAGACAGAGGGACTCGGCCTCAGTGGAAAGTCAAGTGATTTAGACAATGTCATCTGCAGATTCCATCCAGGCTCTGGGTCACAGAGGGACCCCGCTGTCCTGATCAGCAAGCTGCTTGTGCTGACTCACACCCCACCTGGGGTGCTGTCAGTGTCCTCACTAGAAAACAGTCCGAACTTTGGGTAGACATGGACTAAAACTGAGCTTCCCTTTTATGTTTCCCATTCCCCAGCACGGACTTCCGATGCATTGGGAGTTGTTAATGTCTCTTAATACTCTATGGTGGTTCAAAGAAATGTAAAGTGCAGTATTTCCAAAATCACTTGAATTTGATTTTTTACAGCTTCCTCCATAAACTTCCAGAATCCACTAACTTAAAGAGATGCTGCTCTAAAGTATTAAATGAGTAAATTATTCTCAGTATGTTATGTGATTCCCAGTATGTTATTTTCCGAAGCATAATTACAGCGGATGAAGGAAATACACACAGCTTTTCCAAGCCTTGTGGCCATGTCCTCCAGCCCCGTTCAGGTGATGCCCACATTCTCGACAAATATTACTGCTCTGAGAAGCTCCAGGAGGTGCCTTCATCTGGCAGGTGACAGGTTAAGGAAATGGGGCTTCATCTGTTAATCCTTTCTTAAGGGCTTGCTAAACATCATGCCAAGTCCTAGAGGGGCATTTTGTATCAATCATGGTGTTAGCCCTGCCCTCACAGAGTTTTCCACCTAACGAAGGAGACAAGGGGCCAGCTCTAAGGTCCAGCAGGATGCAAGGGGGCCCGGTGGACTCTAGAGCACTGAGCAGAGACGGGGAGCTTGACACAGCTCAACTCAGTCCTCACCACGGCCCTCGGATTCAGTACTGTCACACTGCAAAGATGGGAAAACTTACCGAATAGTTTCTCTGGTGTGAATAAACTGTAATAATACATAAGATCCTAATGGGATGACTGACATTGTGAAATGGGAAGAAAAGGGCTAAAGGTGTAGGGAAGGTGGGAAGGGTAGGGGAAAGGTAACAAGGGAAAAGAAAAAAAATGTGAGAAAATGAAAAGATGGAAATAAAGTGCTTGTAGATAGGGAGGGGAGGAGGGGGTGAAGGGCAGGCAGGGACAAGGGGAAAAAATGAGAACCAAGACCTGTCATGTAGAGGTACAAGACTCCAATGATGAAGCTAACTGTACTGTATACCTAAAGTGTACCGATAAACTCAATGAGGAAAAAAAAAACCAAAGATGGGAAAACTGAGGCTCAGAGACATTAAGTAACTCAACCCAAAGCAAGAGCTCAAGTGCATTTGACTGTAGACAGCCAGTGTTCTTTCTCATAACTGAACCACATTATTTCTCAATAAAAGTAGTCACAAATGGAGGGCAGGGCTAAGCAAGAAGGAGAAATTCACTCCAGTGGCTGGTGTAGGCGTCAGAGAAGGTTTCATAGAGAGTGACACTTGGGCTGAGACCTGCAGGAAGCTGTGTTTAGTGGGAATTCAAGAGGAAGAGAATCTCAGGCCAAGGAACTTGGAGAGGTGTGAAGTCAGTGCACTGGCAGTCAGTGTGGCATGGCTTTGGGGTATGAGAATGCGGAGCGAAAGAACAGGAGATCAGCAAATTTATGCTGCAACAAAAGTCACAAAGCCCCTGCAGTGGTGTTTTCCACACAGCAGTCAGGCAAGATGCACCATCCCACACACCTCCTGTGTTATGATCTCCTCTAGCTCTATACACCATGAGTTCTCTCCTTCTTCTCTCTGAAAGCTTTGCCTCTCAATCTTTCTCCCTATTCTAGTCAGACTTCATGAATGTGAACATCAGAAATCTTTAAGAAGAATTCAGTGTAGCTTACACAGCATTTTTTCTCCAAGTTACCCAGAAAGCACTTGGTCTCTCTCTCTCTCTCTCTCTCTCTCTCTCTCTCTCTCTCTCTCTCTCTCTCTCTCAAGCAGCTACTCCCAAACTCCTGGTGCAGCAGCATGGGACACTATGACCTCTGCTCTTTCCATGAGACACACAGAGGACCTAGCCAGCCTGTGAGGTCCACCCAAGAGCTAAGATCAGAAGTCTGCTAGGGGGCAGGGATTTAGCTCAGTGGTGCTGCCACCTGACTCACAAGTACAAGGTCCCAAGTTTGATCCCCAGTACAAAAAAAAATGGTAAAAGAAGTCTGATTATCATCTTTAGATCATATGGATATAGGCATAAGAGGAAATTTCCACTGCTGGGTGTAAGTTCATGGAATCCTGTAGCAGGGAAACATTCATTTATACCCTCTCCTAGGCCTCTGTCAAAGTCCAGACTATTCCCTGGGAAGATGGAGGATTTCAGCAAACCACTCTGTGCTCTAGACAAAACAAAACATTGAATAGAAATAGAAAAGCATCTTTCTGGAATGATACTGACCATAATGATGTAAGAGGAAGGGCAGGAAATTGATAGTGACATGCTGATTTCTCTGAAAATTTGGGGTCTTTATTTGTATCATTGGGTTCTTAGCAGAAACCTAGTGACACAAATAAATAGAAGAAGCCACTTTCCAAAGAATGGGGCTGGAACAATGGCTGGCATTGAGTGTAGCCCAAGACAAAATTACCCAGCAGCACAAAAGGGTAAGCACCCAGAAAAGAGAGATTCTTTGTGTTATGGGAGTAGAATGAGATTGTGGATGTTATGGTGTAACTAGGAAGAAAAGGATTCAATAAAAAATGTGTAGAAAATGAATAAGACAGAATCTAAAAGAAACGTGGATGAAAGGATAGGTTCAGGGGTTTGTTTTGCTTCTTTTCTCTACAATAGTAGAGAGATTTTATCAAATTTAAATACTGATAAGTAAGAAAAAAGATGCTAAAGCTACAAGTGGAGGCTGACGGACGGAGAGAGGTTCCTAAGGAAGAGCAGAGTGCGTTCACGCAGAAGGGAAATCTGTGCACACTAAAATGAACCGAGACTGTGACGATGAAGGAAGGCAAGTGTTAGGAAGACAGAACAATTCATGCAAGTCCCGTCTGATGTCTTCCCTTGTTGGAAGTGCATGAAATGTTGAAGAAGGTAAGGAAGTCTTGGAGAAAGAAATCCCAGAGGTATTGTTGCTCTAGTCTGTTCGGCGTTATTGATGGGTGATAGCCATAACCCCAGCCTTGCATGTAGTTTCTCCAGCAATTTCAGGAGGCAGGGGTGGGAGTAAGAAAGGTAGGGGCAGATTGATCAAGATAGTTCTTGTTTGTGGATCTGTGGAAAGGAAGTTAGAGAGTGAGGGTGTAAGGGTATTGGAAAGAGAGTGTATTCACTCATTCGATGTAAGAGAATGCATTCATTCATTCAAAACAAAAGAATGGATCCATTCATTCAACAAATACTTGCTGAGTGCCTCCTATGTGCCAAACATCGTTCTAAGCAGAAGAGAGAGTAGCAAACAAAACAGGCAGGGTTTGCTGGTGCTGGTACACAGAGGACACAAACAAGAATGAACAGGTTAACGGGAAGTAAGAAATTTTATTGGTGGGCATCTGTATCAGTCACTTTGCCATCACTGAGATGAAATACCCAACACCTGCAACTCAAGAGAGAGAGGGTTGTTTGATTCACCATTTTCAGAGGATTCAGCCCAAGGTCAGCCACCTTCAAGGCACAAATTTCATGGTAGAGGGGTGTGGTGGAGGAAAGCTGTGCATACCATAGCAGCCAGGAAGCAGAGAGTGAAGAGAGGAACCAGGGGCCAGAATGAACCCTTCCAGGTCACAGACCCCAGCAGGCCCCACCTCCTAGCAGCAAGGCTAATCCACAAATGACTATAGAACCCGCATGATCCGATTACCTTCCAAATAGTTCAGAGGACATTTTTAGATGCACTACGAAAGACGAGGTATGACAAAGAAGAGCTGCTGTGTTTGGGGTGGAAGGCTTCTCTGAGGAGGCTGGAGGCATCACGCCCAAGATCAGGTGAGTGGGGAATGCACAGAAGACTCAGGGGGCTGGGGAATAAGGAAACTGAGCATCTGAAAGGGGTCATGTGCGCAAACCCTGGACGCTAGAGAGCAGAGGCCAGAGGAGTGTGCTGATCATATGGCTTCAGAGGACAAGCAGTTCAAGACCCTTGTTAGGTCCAAAGGATGACAATGGAGCTCTGTGAATTTTTCTGCTGTGCTCAGAATAGTAACTAAGGTCCACAGCTGAGTCCCAAAGTCCTAAAGGCCAGGATTTTATGTTTAGAGGACCTTCCAGTTAGTTATTGGACAGCCATGAGGCTTGCTGAGGGTGTCCTTGGCCATAGGACAGTAGAGAAGCACAGAGAAGCCAACAGCCTCAGCACTCACAAACAAACAAGCAGGAAACAGGGTGCACCTGCCTTTCCACCTTCACAGGAGAGCTCCCCTGCACATTCGAGGAGGAGAGGGAAGACACAACAGAAGACATGGCACACTTCCCTCCATCCCAGATGGGAAGGACAGCCACAGGCTGGCTGCCCAAGGTGAGAATCAGGCTTTACATCAGCGACAAAGCAGAGGAATGACAGGACCAGAATGAGCATATTCCAAGACCTGAGAGTGACCACACATTATGACAGTCATGCTGAGAAGAGGCGGAGGAAGTCCACCCTTTAGAGGTAACACTCCAGTGAGGAGAACGTGCTGTTTTATGCCTCTATTCCAACAAGGTGAGATTCCCCAAAATCTTTTCTGAGGTTTAAAACGATGACTGAAGAAGAGTGAATGAGAGGCTTGTTCTTTCCCTTATCCAACCCGTGGTTATTTAGCACATAGGATGCAGTCAGCTCAGCTCTGGGTGCTTAGGAGACACTGCACAAAATAGGAAAATACCTGCCTTTGAGGGACCTAATAATATAGGAAGGTGGCACTGAGGACATGAATTCTGGTCCTATGGTGTTTATACCAGGACCGAGTGTGGTATTGTGGACAAGGCGAGGGGAGGCCATTGGTAGGTAAAGTGACCAGGAAGAGCCCCCGAGGAGAGGGCATGTGGGTGGGTGAGGCACGAGCCATGTGCATATTGGAAAAGTTGCTTTCAGGAAGAGGCTGCAGGGAGAGTCAGGGTACCCTGGTGTGGCTGGAGCAGCATGGGCAAGGTGGTGGTACGAGAGATGAGATCAGAGAGTCGGACAGGAGGAAGCCTGGAAGGAGCTCCCTGCCGTGGTAATAAGGCCTGGGGTGTCGGAGAAAAGGTCCCCGGAGGAGTAGACACATGACGCGGAGTGTCAGTCAGCTTCCCGTCACTGAGATAGATGTGTTAAAAGGAGGAAAGACTGGGCCAGGGATTTAGCTCAGCGGTTCGGTGGCCTGCCAAGCGCAAGGACCTGAGTTCAATCCCGGGTACCTAAAAACAAGGAAAGATTTGTTTTGGCTCGTGTTCTCGGAGGTTTTCGTCCATAGTCTGCTGGCCCTGTCCGCTTTAGTCCTGTGTCAAGGCAGAACATCCTGGGAAATGTAAATGGAGGAACAGAGCAGCTCATCTCATGGGGTCCCGTTATCCCCTTCAAGCAGCACCCCAACGCCCCAATTTCCTCATGTAAGGCCCCACCTCCCAGTAGTTCCATGGTCTGATGATCGATCCCATGAGCCCTCGAAGGACTCTTCAGACCCAAACTATAGCACTTAGTCTGACATTTTTAGGAGATTGTTTTGGTGACCGTGTGGAAGATTGAATGTAGGGACCAGAAGAGAAATAGGTGATTTATGAGGCTACAGCAGCCCAGGTGAAAAGGCTGTGACGGCCTGAACCAGGAAGAAGCAGAGAAGTGGCAGAAAGTGACCAGACGAGGGAGAGAACACGTGATTGGGCCTGCCTGGTTCCTGGTTTGTTGAAGAAGAGAAGACTTGGGATAGAGGGTGGGTCCTACACTCCTGAGGGGAAACAACAGTTAGTGAGTGCATGGTTCCCTGAAAGAGTGGGAGTGACCTGGACAGACAGTGAAGGAGGAGAATCTGTAAATGACTGAACACCAGAAGGACCCCAAGCCAAATGAGAGCGTTCACTTGAGAGGAAAGGTTTCAGAGAACCAGGAGATAAATAAAGAATTCTGCAGCTCGGCTGACAGTGTACAGGAAGTTGCCTACCATGGAACGGTACTAAAGCATTCAGGGGAAGGACTCAGGAGGGAAATGGTTGCATCTGGTCAGGGAGAAGGAAGCACACAGCCATGCAGAAAGAATGACGACCGAAGAAACTTCTCTTGACTTGGTTGAAAAACATGGAGAAACTCTGTGGAAAGTAACTGGCCTAGAAATTTCCACAGAAGTGAACTCTGAGGTCTCTGATGGATTGGAGGACATGGGCCTCTCCGGGAGCAGCCAGCTGCTCTTGGAAATCCTAGACCAGGTGGGCTGGCAACATGGTTGGTTGGTTCCCAGGAGCCACACCGAGTGCTGGAAATAACTAGCTCCAGATGGATGGGAGGCCTTCTGGATGGAATCCTTCACAGCTTGTCTTAGCTGTGGCTCCAGGGGAATAAATGGAAAATGGCATCATCGATTTTAAAATGATTCTAGGTGAGATAGTTGCCAGTATTTGTAGTTTCCCTTTACTCAACCCAGAGATCTGATTTCTGCCCGCTTCATTTCATGAAAATAGTCCTTGTTGAGTTCACTAGTGGCCTCTGTATTAATTTTCAGCCTTCTTTTTATAGGACAACTCATCAACCACACCCTTCGTCAAGAAACACTTCCTTCTGATTTCTTTTGTAACATTGCCCTCTCCTGACTGTGCTCCTACCCCTCTGCCTACCCCTTTGCTCTGTCTCTAAAATCCACACTCCCATAGCCTTTCATTGTTGGGGCTCCTTATTCCTTGACTCCGGACTACGTGCCTTTCTCCCTTTCTATCCTCTCTCTAGGCTATCTGCTTCAGATCCATACTTTTAGCTGCTCAGTACTATCTGGGCACGTGACCAGCACTGCAGGAGTGTTCAGAGGTGTGTCTGAGGCATAGCTAAGTTAGGTCCTTGCTATTGAAATGGTAAATGCAGGCTCAAGATAGAAAATGAAGTCCAAGGAGACTCTAGGTAAAGGCAGGAAGGAGAATACGAGTTAAAACTCTAGGAAGAACCATTCACTGGACTCGAAGATGAAGAGGAACGAATTAAATTAAAAGTAACTGCCACTGTCACTCCTCACAATTAACATTATTCTACAACATAATTGTTTATCGGTACACTTCAAGCTCTGTGTTAACGCACGCATTAGGTTTGTTTTAGCACCTCCCACATTCCATAATCCCCTTTATCCAAAATGCCCACGCCTATCTTTCATTCCATATACTACCGGGCTTTGGTTCATCAATTCGGTCCATTACGTGTAATTTTGATTGATTTCCCTCAGGTTGTATGGGAATGTGTAGGGCACTGCCATCCATCTCGATCCTCAGAGGTCTTGGTACAGTACTGTAATAGCCTACTACTTATTGCTGCCAGCTTTTCCATCAGCGTCAATCAGAAAGAGACACAAGGGAGCCACACTTTTATCCATTATTTTATCAAGGGATCAGGTACAGAAGCACCACTTGTGAGTAATCAGCAACCATTACTGCATACAACTAAAAAGTATATTCTAGGTTTTTAAAAATCTACAATATAACCAACTGTCACGTATGCACAAAACAGCTACCTGTGGTGTATCGGGTGGCACCCCTGCTGCTCAGTTTATTGATCTGCCCTAATGAATTACCTGCTCTGCTGACCTCTGCACTCTGCAACAGCAAAGCTAAGTGAGTTTGCCCATCTCCATCTATTTTGCATACCATCTGCAGAGACAATGAAGTACGAAGTTGATGGCCCTCGTCTTGGGATCTGAAGTCCGGGGAAAATCCCATTTCTTCATCTGCTTGCTTTTGTGAATAATCCTATACTTTCTTCAGACTTGTCTAAAATAAGTTAGGTGGTAGGAGTCTTACTATTAGGAAAAAGCTCGGGAAATCCAAACACTCGGCCATTGTCTTTGCTCTCTGGAAAGTTTAAGAAAGAGTCTCCAGCTCCCAGAATTGTGGACTGCAAGGAACAGCCTCCCAGAAGGCACCATTCATTTATTATAAGCGTATTTACAAAATCTTTAACAAGCCAGCTTCAGGAATAAACAGAAGACTAAATTAGCTTCAGGACTAAATTGTTCTATTTAATTGGATTCTCAAAATTACCCGGGGAGCTAGGAAGGCAGGGACTATTGTTTCCATTTTGCAAATGGGGAACATGAGAGTCAGAGTTTAACGAACTGATGAAGATAAAACAGTGAGAAAACAGTCAAGCTAGAATTCAATTCGTTATACTTTCTAATTTTCTCATTCTACACCTTTCAGCAGCTACCGTGGGAAGGAAGAAAGCAGTGCCTAAGTCCTTTCTAGTGCAACTTCTCTGTTCCGAGTGACTCAACACACCATCTCTCCCCTACTCACTTTGGTTTATTCAAAATCTTCACAAATCGATTTGCACCAGTCAGGGGATCACGTATTACTCTTTACTTATGTCACAAAAATAACCCTTGGCATCCCCATGAACTTCACAGTCACTATTGTCAGCAATAAGCAACTAAGAATTTACTTTCTGAGATGGCTGCATGTCTACTTGAATTATTTCACAGCACAAAATGTCGAGATGGGGCTTCCCTTTTCATGGGAAGAGATGTTTTAAAAACGAGTTTCACAATATCACATTAGACGTGCAGAGCTCTGAGTGTGGCTCTTGAAGAGGAAATGCCTCCTCAAAGTCTTGCACATTTAAAGTGGAAGGGTCTTCAATAAATTCTCTCTTCGCGTGCACATATGACTGAAGGTCACACACACACACACACACACACACACACACACACACACATGCTGCAGCTCAGCTGTGGACAGACTACCCAGTGTATTCTAGCAGTTTCCAGCTAGAGGCACAAAATATCCTAAACTCACATGATAATCCAGTGTTGAACATCCCCTTAACCCCATGCAGTGAAATGCTATGGACTCCCCAGTTTAAATTCTTCTCAAGTTTTCAGGGAGAGGAAATAATCCCAAAGCGGCCTATTACAGATATTTATCTGCACAGACAAGATGTCGGCTAGCCTGATACAACTCTTGCAAGGCAATGGCTGGGTTTCAGACAAGAGAATTTGCTATGTGCAAAGTGGGATAGGCCAAAAAAGCCACAAATGCAGGCTCTTTCTACATGGTCAGTCAGGCTAGGTCTTTGCCTGACTGCAACCAGCAGATTTTTATGATCGTTAAATTCATCAACAAATGAATAGAAGATCCAAACACATCCTTTTAATTAAAAAATGGTTCTCCCCCTCACCCCCACAATCAGACTTGTACTCATTTCAGCCACTGGGAAAAAAAATGTCATCATCATAATTCCTAATAGCTTGCTTCTGTTTCCGCTTCAATAGGTACCCTGTGGATGGGAAGTCACATAACAGATTTGTGTCCTATCAAGTTGCCTCCACCCGAAAACAGCTGCAATGCTTATCTAATTAAACCCCAGCACCAAACTGTGAGCCTCAGCATAAATCATTAATATTGTATTTTGGATCACTTTAAATTCTGACTGGGGGTCGGTGGTATCCAGCACACTGGTCTCCAAAGAAGATTTTTCAAATAATCTTTAAGCGGCACTGAAAAAAACAAAACAAGCTGCCTGCTGTTCAATGAGGACTCCGCTATCCTGCTGCACCCTGATTAGCTGTTAACACTAATTGAGAGATGGATATTGCTTATTGTAAAAATGCTAAAGACTTTTTTTTATTATCTGAAAGAAGTACAGTTCTCCTCACCTCAAAAAATGTGTCTGTGGCTCTTTGCCCAAATTGTAAACAGCATCAGAAGAATGGTGGTTTCTGGGCCTGTTGTCCTGGGTTTGCAGAGTCATTATTCTGAACCACTTCTTTCCTCATGGTGCCCATCCACAAGTCAGCAAAATGTGAACTCCACAAGGGATTTGCACATGTACACCCTACATTTGGAACATGGAAGCGCTCTTCACACAGCTCAGATGGCCCAGAAATATTTACGTAAATCTCCATCCCAGTAAGGCACATGTTGATGCACTCGGGTTTAAGCTCATAAACCAAGAGGAAGAGCTTTCTGTATCCCCATTCTAATAAATGAAAGCCAACAGGCCACGCCAAATGGGACAATTTAGACATAGAGAGATTGGCCAAAGCTAAATGAATATCTGCTTCCTTCTGGCATTCTAGGAAAGATACCAAGCCACTGTGCCAAAGCACACTGCTCTTCTTTGTTAGGAAAATACTCTGATCTGCTCAAAATAGGGGGTATCAATCACCCCAGCATCAAAAAAGATGTATGCAAGAGAGACTCCTTAATGAGGAACAGTTGACGGCAGAAATACAGCATCAACCTAGCTCCGTATTAACACAGCTTAAAAACTATGAAGAAATCAGACAAAGCAGCTGAACCATGAGGTTCTCGTTCTCATAAGCCAAGGTTGGTGGATACTTTGCCAGGGTACTGCCTGGCACTCAGCCACATCTGCTAAAGAGAGGTGGGAAACCTGAGAGAAAAATAAATAGGAGAAGGAGGTTTGTTGAAGAGGAACCAAATATAAGGAAAATATCAAGGTACCAGGAAAACTTCCTGGAGAGAAGAGACTGAAAGATTAGGGAATAATCTGAAAGACCACATGAAAGATTCCTGCCCACGGGGGCAGTGATAATCAAAGGCATCTCCTGAGACTACCAGAAGGTCAAAACAGATCAGGGCATGGAGATTTGGATTGTTTCAACTCAGCTGAGTAGAAACTACATTTCCCAGAATCCATCTGCCTACACAATCCGGGGATATGGTATGGATGATTGGGCAGCTGGAGTCAAGTGCAGCCATATTGCTTTCCAGGCTTTGAAACGCAGAGCAGGGCAGAAGCGTACTGTTCATCTGCATGTGCACCTGCTGCTGCTTCATCTCTCACTCCTGCTGAACACCTTCGTTCAGCTCTGTGACTGCAAGGCTGAGCAGTTGCCAGCTGCTCCTGGTAGCATCGGCATCCTCAGCAATGCAGATTAGGAGGTCAGTAGATGTCAACACGGATTCTATCCCACCCTTATGGATTCCAGATAGTGCCTCTGGATCAAGTTTATCTTTGCCTTCTCCATTTCACAGCCATCTTCCCTCCTGGAACCTCCACCCACACACAGTCCTGTCAGTGGGACTTCCTTGAAAGTGCTTAGGAAGAAGAGTGGTATTCCTTGATCTGTAGTTATTTAATTAAGGCATTCTGGATGATATCTCATTAAGCATTCTAGGTGACTCCTCATACAATTCTGTGGGGGTGGGGCTAGGAAACTGGCACCAAGATGCTCTTTGAATAATAAACAGCTTCTGATCCAGAGATCTCATGTTTGCTTCCTATTAGAACACAGAGATATCCACACATACATATGTATAGCAATGCACGCATGCACAGACCTATATATAAATAACATGTCCATTGTATAACATGCAGTCCTATTTTGCTTAACAATGAGACAACTACTGTGTCACTAGGTGATATAATCTTCTGAGACCACCATCATATACACAGTGTGCTCTTGACCAAGATGGCACACAGCATTCACAACTTAAAGGAGGAGAGGTTTATCTGGGCTCATGGTTTTTAGAGGAATAAACTCATAGTCAGCTGGCTCCCAGGCAGAAAGTACATGGCGGAAAGATCTGGCAGAGGGAAACTGCTCAAGTCATGGCAGCCAGAAAGCAGACAGTAGAACTGGGGAAGGAGATATACTCTTCTAGGCCATACCCCCAATGACCCACTTCAAACCACACCCCGTCTCCTAAGATCAAGTCAGCAGTGAATTCATCAGTAGACGAATCCACAGATGAGTATAGCAGTCCCATGATCCAATCACCTACAAATATATGACAGTTTAAGGGGACTCCCCAGATCTAAACCACAACACGCAAGCAGGCGCACGCGCATACACACACACACACACACAATAGGTATACATAAAATTGTGGTAGGCTACCTTGCTAGCTGTAAAGCAGGGTAAAATCTCACATTCTTCCCATTTTCAAATTTAAAGTTTTTATGTTGATTTCCATCATTTTTATTTCTTTAACCTGTTCTTTGTTAATGGTACTTTAATCTAGTAGAGCAGATCACCCCTCCTCTGGGTCTTTCCTGCTTTCTATGCAAGGCAAAACAAAAATGTGTCAAACTCTCTGCTTGCAATAGAATGAATTGCCCAGAAACATCTGGAAAAGTGAAAACTCCTATTAGTGTTTTACTTTCCCACTCAGCCACAGGGGAAAGAACCGTGTGCATCCTTTTAGGAATGCCTTTGTAGCACCCTTCCAGAGGAACATGCCTCAGTTCAGAGAGTGCCTGGGTGAGAATGTCTGGGTTCCAGATTCATCTTTATCACCTGCCAGCTTGTAGAAGACCATACTATTGATTATGCCCAAAGCAGGCTGTAAAGAGTTAACCCCACAATTGGCTTGTTTTGAGAAGTGAGCCCAAGGTCAGAGTAACTCACATCCAAATTCCATTTCCACAACTGAAACCTTCAGACTAGAAGGACAATGTTCTAATTACAACCATTTATTTTGTCTGTTCTGTTCCTAATTCAAAAATGCTTTGTCTTGTCCTTTATGAGCCTTGTTTACATTGACTTCCATAGAAATTGCACATAGCTGTGAGAGACTGCTTGGGCCTGCATAAGATGGCTGCCCTCAACCTTAGCCTTTGCCTCGGTGGAAAAATCCCACTAGACTACGTACGTGACTTTTGGCAGGTCTAGCCCCTGGGCAAACAGGGAATCTTACAGAAAAAATAGCCCTTTGTGCTAACCACAGGGTCACGGGATCTGGAGCAGGAGGCCGGTGGTATTTCCTTGTCCTGCTTGCCCCTAGAGATTGTTAAGTTAAAGATTGCATAGGGTTAATTGTTGATGTACGCCTTCCCACTTACCCCTCCCCACATTTGGTAAAATACTGATTGCTGTATGGTTAAATGCTTGAGTGACTCATGTGATTGATTTGTTTGAACTGTCCAATAAGCTTGCTGAACCTTCCCCCTGGGATAACAGTATATAATCGTTTTGCTGAGCCAATAAAGCGCCTTTGATCAGAAACCAGACTTGGGCCGTGTACTCTAACTTCTTAAAGATTTCCTCCACAGACATTCAAGATCGGATCGGCCTCTGATGACCCACGAATAAGAGGCGGCTCTCATCTCCTATTCCCCGCGGGACGGGGTCCCCCCAGAGAGCCGCACATAGCTTGCCTTTACCCCAAATGATTGCCAATAAAAGTCAGGGCCTAGGACTAAACAGGGCCTTTGTGGGTTGCGCTGGTATTGATCATCCTGGCACCCTGTTTTCTCTCTCTTAGTGTATTTTTTCTCAGGCCTGTGATGTATATTGGGCAGGGAACTGGAAGCTAACTACAGGGGTCTCTGGTACCAACTAAGTAACTTTGAACAAGTCATTTAGCATTTCTGAGCCCTAACTTCCTTGCATGAAACTTTGGAATGATGACACTTGCTCTCCTTTTCTTTCAGTGTGTATGCATTAAATGAAATGGAGTATGTTCACATACTTCATAAATGTATTCTAATGTATAAAAGGATTCTAAGACCCAACCCACTTCAGTTACTGAAAAACAGATCTCAAGTCTAGTTTCCCCCACTGTAGGTCAGAACCTAACTTTTACCCTCAGCTTACACATCTAGGATTTTAGTCCTGGTCAGTCTTCTCTCTAGGGGGCTGCATTCTGCTCCAAATATTGCATAGCTAATGGGTAAAGTATTTTCCTTGAAGAAAAATAATTACCCAGAGCCATGATATCACAAATCTCTTTACTTTCATTCTGTGTTCTGGCCATTCTCTGTTATGGTCATGATGCCCTGATGCTGAATCCAACCCTTATCTTCTTTCCTGATATCAGAATTGATCAGCTCTGTAGCCAAAGAAAAAAGAAAGAAAGGAAGTGGAACAATAACAACCACAAAATCTATGAGGGTGCAATAGAAAGCAACTGTAATCTAATTTATTCTTCATGGAATCAAGGAAAATTTGTAACATTGGGCAGTAGAACTATAATATGCTTGAAACATAATATACTTGGGAGATGTAATATGAGTGGCTGTATCTCATCTTTTTCTATGAATCAGGAAATTTTCCTCTGGGTTGTTTTTCCCAACCACTAACAATTGAAACTCTGATGTTAGCTAACAATCCCATTATGCCAAGCATTGCTCTTTTATTCAATTGCTCCTTCAACAAAAACATCTATTGATTCATGTCTATGAGCCACGCATTGTGCACTCAGTCTGCCTGGCATGCGGTTCAGAGCCAGGTAGTCTGGTATCTGAGCTTTTAAGGCCAAGAATCAAAAGCTTAAGTCTGGCATTTTCTAATACAACATTTTTATGCAATAATTTCAGGGTCTTCAAATATAATGCATTTGGTGACAAGCTGATGGGCCTCAGAGATAAGTTGCCATGGGATTTCCACAAGGGCCTTAGAAAAGATGCTTCCCAAGTTTAATTTATTTTGGATCCTATGAATCTGAGCACCAAATATGTTTCTTGACCCCAGGCAGTTAGTTCTCCCTACTTGTCGTGCATCTGAATCTCCCATGAAACTTTCTAAAACAGAGTTGCCCAACCATCCTCTCCTGCCCAGGGATGCTTGTACCAGTGGTGGGATAGGGAAGAAATTGCCTGTAATTTTTTTAAATTCCATGGGTAAATTTATAGTCAGGGGTAACGCCCACTGACAATGAGCTCTATACATATTTTTCAATGAACAAATATTATTAAAGTAAATGAATGTCTTGCTCTTTTAAACCACTTGGCACAGTGTAGGAGGAAAGTCTAACAGCAAGAAGGGAATAAGAGGAAATGCTGGATTATGTATAAGGACAACACCACATAATAGAGTAAGTCTTGTTAGATGAGGAAAGTAAAACAGAGCCTCTCAGGCTGAATAAGGACCCTTTTGACACTTTTATATATATTAGAATATTTCTTAAACCCTTGTAAAATAATGTCTATCTTTTTGTTTTCTTCTACTAAGAAAATATATTAAAATATTGTGTACGTGATGCTTTAAATGACTTAAAATTGTATTAGTAATATCTAGTTATATTTTCAAAATACTAACACCTATGCCAGGCCTTATTTATTTGAACTACAGATTATGTTTAAGAAGAAGTGGACTTAGGAAGGAACTCAGTGATCCCCCGGAATTTATAATCTGAATATCAGGGACCACAGCCACAGACCACCTACCTAAGGACAGGACATGGGCTTGGCATGCATGAGACCCTGGATTTCATGCCCAGCGGCAGAAAAAAAAAATTGAACTAACAATGACACTAGAGGGAAATGTTTAATCAAAGTGAGGAAGAGTTAAAAGTAAACCATCAGCTTCAAGGATAATTTTATACTTCTACATAGTGATAAAATAATTCACTGGGAAAAAAAGCAAAACTTCATGTTTTCCATAAGCTATCATTACATAGAATTAATAATTTTAGATTACTGAAGGAAAAGAAATAAATCAGACTAGCTAAGTGATACAATGCAGAGCAAATTTGTAGTAGAATAACTCTGTGACTGTTTCTCAGAATAAGATAAAATTTAACATAGTAATGTATAGAGGGAGATAATCAGGGAGAAACAAAAGTAATTTGATTATTTAAGGAAAACTACTACAGTTTGAGTATCCCTTATCCAAAAACTTTGGGACCAGAAGTGCTTTGGCCTTGATTTTTTTCCAGATTCTGGAATATCTGTACAAATACAATGAGGTAATTTGGCGATGGGTCCCCAATCTAAATACGAAATTCATTTATGTTTCCTATATACCTTATGCAAATAGCCTGAAGGCAATTTTATGCAATGTTTTAATAATTTCATGCATGAAATAAACTTTCAAGACATAAAATTTTCCACCTATGGGGTAGTGTCAGTGCTCAAATATATCAAATTTTAGAACATTTTGGATTTTGGGTATTTGGATTAGGAGGGGAACTATATCAAATGCACAGTAGAAAAAAGCAAAATACAAAAATCCCATAAGAAATCAAACAATCATTTTTCAAAAACTTACTGAAAGTTCAGGAAAAAAAATTTATACTCAAGATCAATATCAGAGTTTCTTAAATAGAAGTTATTTGTGGCTAAAAGGCAGAGTAAAAGAACTCTGGGCTGGGGATTCAGCTCAGTGGTGCTGGTGCCTGCCTTGCAAGTGCAAGGTCCTGAGTTCAATCCCCAGTACCAAAAAAACAAACAAGAAGTGCAACAAGGAATCTATTACTGGAAAGGAAAAGGCACTTAGTATTGAATGGATATGCTGTCCATATATGAAAGTCACAGAGGTCAAGCTGGAGAAGCAGATATTGCTTGGCCTTCCTTCTC